CTGGTGTACAAAAGAGCTGGTGTACAAGCTTGGCTTGGTTTATATGCAGCAATTACTCAGCAATTACTCATGAAAAGCTGGATGCACAATGTGGGCTGGTGCCTAAGATGAAGGGAAATAAGGAAGCCTATGGGTGGGTAGAGAATGCCAAGGTTTATATCAACAGTGAAGTGATGGAGAATGACTTGCAATCTATGGTTTGGGAAACACTGCCTTAGAAGGTCTCAGGGAAAATCAGAACATCTGAGTGTCTGGAAGAGGAGGTTGGTCTGAGATCTGGGAGAAATGAGCCCTGAAGCCTTACAGGATTGTCTGAACTATTGAGCTGTAGAATTCTGCTTGAGTTTTTCCTTGGAGTCAGCCAGAGGCAGCCTAAGCCCAGAGCAGAGGTCTCAGGACAGCTTTGGGTTGTGACGGTGGGGGATACATTTGGGGGTCTGCACCAAGGGTCTTCTGCACCTGAACTGTGTTCTCACTCAAAAGACTGCAGGGAATCTTGATTTTGTCCCTTTTTGCAGTCAGAAATTTTCCTTCTCCATTTCTGTGATTTGCCTCAGTCACTGATGTTATCTTATAGATAGGATATCTCAGGCTGCATTTCCTTCAAAAACAGTGAAGAATACATACTCACCAGACTTTGGCTTTTTATTTTCTGCTTGTTTTGTCTTACATTATAATATATACTTTCAGGACCAGGCGCAGTGGCTTACACCTGTAATCCCAGCACTTCGGGAGGCTGAGGCGGATGGATCACTTGAGGCCAGGAGTTCAAGACCAGCCTGGCCAATATGGTGAAACCCCTTCTGTAAAGAATTGCAAAAATTAGCCAGGAGTGGTGGCAGGTGCATGTAATCCCAGCTACTCTGGTGGCTGAGGCATGAGAATCGCTTGAATCCAGGAGGCCGAGGTTGCAGTGAGCTGAGATTGTGCCACTGCGCTCCAGCCTAGGCAACAGAGCAAGACTCCACCTCTCTCTCTCTCTCTCTCTCTTTTACTATATATATATTCTCTCTTTCTCTCTATAAATATATATATATTTATATATATATATAAAGAGAAATATATATCTTTGTTTTATATATATGTATATATATACATATATTTGTGCGTATATATATACATATAAATATATGTATATATATATTTATATGTATATCTATGTTTATATATATACATATATATACAGCTCTGCCACCTGGAGTGGGAGAGCTGGATGGCAATGACCTGCCTCCTTGGTTTGTGGTGGTGATGTGTGATCAGGCACCTCGAGTCATCAGGGGAGTATTTTGGCTCCAAGGAAAACCTGTAAGGGCACTTTGATCTCACTCAGAGAATTTTTCTTCAGGAATCTATCTTGGGTCTTTCTCCAAGGAGTCTGTTTCAGTGAGGGCTTTCCGCAGTTTAAACAGTGCTCCAGAGACTTCCCCACATCACAGCTAAGCCAGAGAAGGAGGGGTTTGGGGTGGGCTGCCTCGTCTATGACCCTGGGCCAAGTTGTCCTTGAGGCTCATCATGGAGCCTTCCTCTGACTTCCATTGACTGTGTCTCTTTGGACATATAGCGACCACTGTGTTTGGTGCTTGACATCTGCTGGTGAGCACAGTGGGGCAGGATCCTTGTTCTTTTCAGCCAAGGAAATCCAGCCCCTTCTACCTCATCACTTAGCTGGTCTCTCTAGGAACTATATTT